CCCTTCTAGTTTAATTTAAACATCACAAACACCTCCTACCATTAAACTACTATTTGTAACAAAAAAAAAAATTCATCTAAAATACCAAAAATGCCCCTACATAACCTCAAGTAATTTTTTTACGTAAAATTTTATTAAAATTCGAGCTGTTAAAATTTAAAAATAAATCATAAATAACAATTTTAGTATATAATTTGTTAGTAAATACTAATTTGTTATTTACTAATTCGTAAATTTTTTTAAAAAAATCGAGCCTATTAATTTTTTTTTTAACATATTAAAATTTGAGCCGATTTGAACTCTATCCAAGTTGTTAGCACCGATTAAAATTCTCTTTCGAGTCAATTAAAATTTATATTTTTTTTATTTATTAAAATTAGTGTCAATTAAAATTATATTTATTAAAATTTAATTCAATTAAAATTCATATATTTTTATATATTAAAATTTGTATTGATTAGAATTCAATACGAATTAATTAAAATTTGATTTGAGTCGATTAAAAATAATTTTTAATTGGCTCAAAAAAAAATTTAATTAGCCCAAATTCTAATACGTAAAAAAAATATAATATTTTAATTGACACAAATTTTAATATATAAAAAAATAAATTTTAATTAGTTTAAATCGAATTTTAATCAGTTCGAATTTAATTACGTAAAAAAAAATTAAAAAACAGAGGGGGTCTCATTGAAAATATACTTATCTAGAGGGGGTCTCATTGAAGATATGTTCATCTAGAAGGGGTGTGGATGAAGTTTGTCCTCAAATATATTATGGACAATTTAGTAAAATTGCATCATACTTAATATTTTTAATCTGACAAAGGGTGTCATTGAAGATTCAAAAACTAGAGGGGGGTGTCCTTGAAGATATGATAAACTAGAGGGGGTGTGGTTGAAATTTTTCCTAAATATTTTTATTAAAAACAATGCTGAACTATTCTTTTTTTTTTTTTTTTGGGATCAGAATCGGTAATCTACTTTNTATGGACAATTTAGTAAAATTGCATCATACTTAATATTTTTAATCTGACAAAGGGTGTCATTAAAGATTCAAAAACTAGAGGGGGTGTCCTTGAAGATATGATAAACTAGAGGGGGTGTGATTGAAATTTCTCCTAAATATTTTTATTAAAAACAATGTTGAACTATTCTTTTTTTTTTTTTTTGGGATCAGAATCGGTAATCTACTTTATTGAATTGGAAGGGCAAAAAAGGGCTTCGATTTCTCTGCCCATTTATGTAGAGGGTTGGCCTTCATCAGTAACATGATGAATAAGAAGAAATGGTTCTAGGCTTGCGAAGATAGTGTTGTTAGGTGAATATTTGTGCATAATACGCGGGCTGTGAGTAATTCCCATCATGAGATATCATCCAAGACAGTAAATTATTTTTAACAAAATGATCCTTATAGGTGAAACATAATGCTATATATATATATATTGTGTGCTTATATAAGGTCTCATGTTCTTTCTCTCTTGGTTATTTTCTCACCCTCCATATTTTGGGTCAAGATCTCACTTTGCCGTCTCTTGCTTTGTACTCTTTTCTTACTCAAATATTTGCGTCTGATTATATGACTTTTTTGCTCATCTGTTCTCTACGTTTTGCGCATCAACTTGCCTTCATGCACTGTGGTAGGGATTTATCCTTGAACTTGAATTTATAATATTGCCTTCTACATTTTGGTTTGTCTTTTTATGAAGTATTTCAATGTATTCTCTAGATTGGAAGTTTCCCCCAACCCTGTTAATCCTATAGGTGAGCCCATTTTTTGTGGAATGCTTCGAATCTTACAACTGTCTGNATATTGCCTTCTAGATTTTGGTTTGTCTTTTTTTGAAGTATTTCAATGTATTCTCTAGATTGGAAGTTTCCCCCAACCCTGTTAATCCTANTATTGCCTTCTACATTTTGGTTTGTCTTTTTATGAAGTATTTCAATGTATTCTCTAGATTGGAAGTTTCCCCCAACCCTGTTAATCCTATAGGTGAGCCCATTTTTTGTGGAATGCTTCGAATCTTACAACTGTCTGATTTGGCATTTGTGTTCAAATCATATAAGACACGTTTGCACCAGTAGTTGGCCAACATTTTGGTTGTTTAATTTCTTGGTAGCATATGTATTAATAATATTGTCAATGATGCCTCATTCTATGTTGCATTTTCATAATTTCCATAGCAAATAATATTAGCTTTTGTTTTTTGTGGACAATTTTAGATATTATTGCTAATACATTAAGCATAGGTACATGAGATTTCAATAAACTTTAGTTAAACTGATTTTGTGCCTGTCTCTCCCTTCAAGAATAACCTTTTCTTTGGGTGGCGGCGGTGGTGGTGGATAGGTTTTTGCTATTAAAGGTGGAAGTTGCGAAAGAGAAGACTAATTATCTATGTTTTCAATCCATCAATCATTATTCTCAATTTTTATATGTGCTTGATTATGAGAGTAATGTTATCCTGTTGAGAAATGATATTGATTAAAATAGTTTATCAAATATTATTACTTTTTAGTTAGTTTAAATATTATTCTGCGCGAATAATATTTCGCACACTACATACAACATAGTATTCTTAATCTTCAATTTTTTTTTTGGCTCTAATTTCTTCACAATAGTTTGCTATAATGTTTTTGAGTTTCTCATAAAAACATCATTGATGTAATGTAAAATGTAAAAGGATGGAGTTGGTGGCTGATTTTCACTGTTTATCAATCAAGAAGGAAAAAAAAACATGATTTGTTGATAGTCATTTTAAATCATTATGGAGGTTGTTCAATGTTTAGGGAGACAACACGCGTACTAGAAAAAAGGGTCATGGATTTGGAGGAAATTAACATCCCTACTCGTTGACCAATTTTAGCTAAAGGATCTTAGGGGAGTGGACAGGAAGATTATTAAGAATTAAGCAGTCAAGCTTGGTTTGCATGGAATAAGAGGAATGTAAAAAGCTTTGATAACCACCATAAAGATGTAGCAACTCTCAAGCAAAGGAATACCCCTTAGAAGAACAACACAATTTTACAAGCTTGACAGATTTCTTTGCCTATAACTAATATCAGTCTTTTAACATTTGGGTAAAGATATTTTGAAACATGATAACCATTATATAAAGCTAAATTTGTAGGGTTGCCACTTTGTGCGGAGAATCTCATTGGATACAATACTTCCTCTTATTGTAGATACTTAAAAGATTGGAAGAAAACTAAGCATGAATTGCATTACTGTATATCAGGTACTTGATTTCTATATATATTGTTAAGGACCACTTTTTCTATAAATGTATATCTGAATAATCATATATTTGACAATTTTTATTCAAAATAGTTCATGTGCAACACACGTATACATCAACTAGTACACCAACACACACACACACATATACTACTACACCTACCTAGGTAGGAGTAATGATCGGGGTCTAGAGTCAGGGTCGGGTCCGGGGGTGGAGTCGAGGCTGCTATGTGTGTGTTTTGGTGTACTAATATGTGTGTGTGTGTTCTTTGTGTATTATTGTCTCTATTTTTTAGTATAGTAGAGTGTGTTTGATTTTATTGTTTTTTGTAATTTAATAGAAAAATAAATACATAACTCAAAGTGGTACAAAACGAATCATAATTCAACCCAATGTATCCGCTAATATTTATAAATCAACGAAGCTAGAAAAATTTAAGTTAGGAACTATCAAAATATAAGTTTATCGATCATCAAAATAAAGAAATAGCCATTTACATTTACAACTTGGGATTAGTGTTGTTGTTTACAATTATCTGTATCATGAGTTGGTTTATGATTTGAAGTGTAATTTATAGTTGTGAATTTGGGCGATTTATTAGATTGCAAACTTATCCCGTTTTGAAATGTGTAACCCGGTTGAGGGAACACTGTCTTCTAAACTTTGAAGCCATGAACTATATGAACAAACAGTGGTACTAAAATCTCTAGAAATTTTGTGATTATGTGACAGGGAAAAAATGGGGATGTACAGTTCAGAAGTTAGGAAAGTAAGCATTGAAATATTTGAAGTCATCATGGAGAGCTTAAACTCGGGTGCAACATACTTGAGAGAGAATTTCAACCAAGGCTTCCACATTCTGGGCATAAACAGCTATCCACCATGTTCCAAATCAGACATCAAGATGGGCACACCACCACACTCTGATCATAGCATCATCACCGTACTCCTACAAAGTTGCCCGGGGCTCGAGGTCGTGGACAGAACCGATGGCGAATGGAAGATTGTCCCTGATGTTAAAGGATCACTTGCAGGAAGTGAGCAATGATTTATACAGGAGTGAGTGTCGTGCACCGGGTGATTCCGAGCGTCGTCGGGAAAACCAGGATGTCGATTGCCTGTTTTCACAGCCTAGCCATGGATGAGGTGGTTGAGCCTGCTGTGAAGCTGTTAGACGAAGAGCACCCAAAAGCTTACAAGGAGAGCAGTTTAAGCGAGTTTCTCAAGCATCTCTCCATTAGACAAACAAGAACCTTCATCGAAACACTTCGAATCTAAACGCCAAACTTAGTTTATATACTTGAAATATTGATCACCCGAATCTTCCTGACTCTATTAGATCGAAGAATTGTGATAATCCCGACATAAATTCCTCTACATAGTTCTCTCCTAAAGGTGAGACAAGGGAATGTATTAAGCTCTCCATTTGTATAATTTAGCAGGAAAATTGTGTGGACTTAAGGTGACGTGGTTGAGATGAAACTGTGTGTGTGCACTAAATTAAGGTCTCTCGATAACGCACAGCCAGCTGTTTACTTTTTGGTGGCATGGGCCTTTAGATATCAGTTATTGTAATTAGAGCAGATTTAGAACATGTTTTCAAAGGAACAAGAGTGATCGACTCTTAAGAGGTATGAGAAATGTCGATCCTGAGACCTCTGAATTACCAAAAGTTAAATTCTACCACTAAAACACCCTTTAACGATTATCACTCTTCTTTTTATTTGTTTACTTATGAAAGTATAACTAACTGAAAGCGTATATCAATTACTTCCTAGAGAACTCTCATCTCTACCGACTAAAGCTCGATGCTAAAAAGTGAGGCACATAAATATATTAGAGAAGGAACACCGAAGGGTGTTGGTGGGGGATAAGTTGTTCACATGTGAATTTCGGTGGAATACTAAATGGCACTTGCATTGGATACTAAATAGAAATTGCACTCTTTCGAAAAAAAAATGATAAAAAAATTGGAAAGTGCAGCAAGGAGAATGTAATGGTAGCCAAAAAAAATTGGTATGATACAACTTTATACAAGTTTATAAGAGTTTTTTGTATAATTTTTTTAGAATTTAAATCTTTTTGGAGGTTTTTGTGCTTACTCACATAATCCTTCAAAACAATCGATGCCTTGATATTCCGTGCTTTTTCAGAGCGAATTCTCAGTTAATTTGAGCTTTTATTTTATAAATTCATAAAGTTGCATTCTTATTTATATATTTATTCATTATTACTTAAATTTTTATTTGGAAAATGATGGTTTATGCATAAAAATACATATCAAACTAGAATGAAATTAATAATTTGTAATTACTATTTCATGACCTTATAATCAATACATATTTTAAAATTAAATAGTTTGTCACTTAGTTATACATGAAAATTAATTTTTATAATTAATTTTTATGGGTGAATGTTTATCTGGATGCACATGATGCTCTTAAGGTGTTCTTGTTCTCAAATACTCCTGAATTTTGTCCTTTTTGAGCTCACGATTTTGCCCCTGCTCTAGTCTCCCGCTCCATGTGATCTAGTTTCTGCATCTCAAACACCTCAAAAAAAAAAAAATTATAACTTGAGATCCAAACCCTATGACATAATTCAATAAAAAGAAAAATTTAGTATTAATCCTATTTTTTTTTTATAATTAGTCAATCCCTAAAACCTTTTATGTTAACTAATAAATATTATAAATTGCAGAGTATTACTTTTTTCAGTCCTAAAATAAAATCTATGACAAAATAATACAAACTTCAAGAAGAAAATTGGGGCCCGGACTTTTTTTTTTGTGGTACTGTACCATCATGTAAAAGTTTATTTAAGAAAATAAATTTTGAGAATTATTTATAATTTTTAGTGATCATTTATATATTTAGGAACTATTTATAACTTTTGAGGGTCATTTATAAAATTTAAGAGTCATCTATTATTTTTGGGTTTACCTTGAGATGAATAATAAAATTATAAAGATTGATCACATGGTAACATCAAAAGTCCAAAAATTAAAAGTTAAACTATAAAATTATAATTTTTTAGAGAGAATTATACAAGATCTTATAAAGTTTATCACTTGATTACTCAGACCCCTAACATTTAAAATATTATACACAGATTCATTGAGGTTTGTACCTCTACCGTTAGTGTCCGTTATTATATCCGTTCGTAAATTATATCCAGACCCCCTGAATTTTATAGGCGTTTGATACTTACACCCCTTCAAGTTTAAAATATTATACTTAGACAAAAAATATTCCAATTAATTATAAAATATCAAATATTTTAAATTTTACAACCAAATTTATTTTCTATTATGACATTTATTGAAATAAAATTAAAAATAAAAAATTAATTTTTTATTAAAAAATTATAATTAGTATACAATTATATCCAGATTCTATAAATTTTGTCACTTAATCATTTAAATCTCTTATAATTAAAATATCACGTACAAATCCTTAAAGTTTGTACGTGGGCAACACCTACACTACTGTCGTCATTTGTGTCTTATTTTATTGAGTAATATTAGATAGACTTACAAAATAAATTTAAAAATTAGATTTGATAATCTCAACCATTGAATAGATAGTGAATCCTAATAAATATTGGGACCTACTGTAAATTCAACGATTAAAATTATCAAATCTAATTTTTAAATCTATATTTTTAACTCCATGCCCTATTTTATTTGTGCAAAATCTTCATTTCTAGCCATTAGTCAACAGATACATCCACATCTACAGTGCCAAAATGGTGCAACCTCTGCGAGTTCCCATCGTTGACCTCTCTCTCCTGCGACAACGCTCCGATCATACCAACTCTCCGATTATCAAAGACATCCATGAAGCTTGCCGAAACATCGGCTTCTTTCATGTTCTCCCACAAACTCTCTCTCTCTCTCTGAACTCATACAACCCATTAACTTTAATTTTTCCATGTTCTTACAAGTGTTGAAACATTATTATCAATTTCTGGGCTGCGATTTTCGTATAGGTTGTTCATCATGGTATACCCGAATCAGTGATTGAAGGAGCCTTAGAAGTGAACTCAGAATTCTTCAACTTACCGACGGCGATTAAAGAAGAGCTCATCTCCGATGATGTGTTGAAGCCGGTGAGATTTGGTAAACTTGTTGGTGAAGATGAGGGCAATAGCAAGTTCATGAGGGATTTCCTTAAGTTGTGTGCTTATCCTTTTGAAGATTTTGAAGCTTTATGGCCTACAAGTCCTCCTAACTACAGGTATTCACATTTTTCTACATTATGATTTTTTGGAGTATTCTAGTTTCACTTTATAGCATAGGAATTGATGGTGTGTGTTGTACAAATGAACAGAGCTTAGGAATTAGTAGGTTATTGAATTGCACAGTCGGAGTTCCTAGGCTCTTAAAATTTGAACAAAGGGGATGGGGATTTGCACACAGAGAGTTTATAGTAGAAGAGAGTCTTTTGCTTCTGGAGATATTATTGACAATAGAGGAAGGATTACACAGGGTATTTACTTAGGTTAATTGTTTGTGTCTTGTTGTGAGGGATATGCCTCTTATTTATAACCTTTAGAGGCTTTGCATTATCCTGGGAATGATTTTAGCCTTCTCCTTGTAACGATTGCGCCTTTTATGCGATTGCCACGGATATCGCTGAGATGGTTACGCCTTTTTTACCTAGAAACAAGACCGTTACGTTATGTGTAGTGTATGGGTGGAAGCCATCTGTCTTCTGTGCTATTCAGGTGGAGGTGCAATTGCTGGGAGGGGGCACCGACCTCAAGTTCCCTAGTCATAAGGATAAAAAAATAATAATAATATAAACCAAGATATTGCGACAATGTTTTGTTGAATTGAATCGCACATGTAAATAATCTGAAAGAATAACAAAGAAGTATGGTGAAGAAGATGACCAAATTGGATCTAGTATATATAAGATTATGTGTGGGTTTTGGTTGGACTCTCGTGACACTATGGTGGGTTTTTTTTTGACAGCCGGGGGTGGGGGGGGGGGGGGGTNGGGGGGGGGGGGGGGGGGGGGGGGGGGGGGGGGGGGGGGGGGGGGGGGGGGGGGGGGGGGGGGGGGGGGGGGGGGGGGGGGGGGGGGGGGGGGGGGGGGGGGGGGGGGGGGGGGGGGGGGGGGGGGGGGGGGGGGGGGGGGGGGGGGGGGGGGGGGGGGGGGGGGGGGGGGGGGGGGGGGGGGGGGGGGGGGGGGGGGGGGGGGGGGGGGGGGGGGGGGGGGGGGGGGGGGGGGGGGGGGGGGGGGGGGGGGGGGGGGGGGGGGGGGGGGGGGGGGGGGGGGGGGGGGGGGGGGGGGGGGGGGGGGGGGGGGGGGGGGGGGGGGGGGGGGGGGGGGGGGGGGGGGGGGGGGGGGGGGGGGGGGGGGGGGGGGGGGGGGGGGGGGGGGGGGGGGGGGGGGGGGGGGGGGGGGGGGGGGGGGGGGGGGGGGGGGGGGGGGGGGGGGGGGGGGGGGGGGGGGGGGGGGGGGGGGGGGGGGGGGGGGGGGGGGGGGGGGGGGGGGGGGGGGGGGGGGGGGGGGGGGGGGGGGGGGGGGGGGGGGGGGGGGGGGGGGGGGGGGGGGGTGGGTGGGGGGTGGGGGGTGTTGGGGGGGGGGGGGGGGGGGGGGGGGGGGGGGTGTTGGTGGATGAAGACTTATATAACACCATTAAAGTATGCTTTTGTGCCCTCGTTACTTAGCCCAAAATGTCATTGTTATACTAATCAGTTAATCTGACTCAATGTTACTTGGATCTATGCGTTGGTGTAGTATATGGTATGGGCATGCCATACATTATTTTTACCGATATAGAAGGCTTAGTCGGTGCGTCATTGTTTGTTGTGGTTCATTTTGTAAATCTCATCCACATTACTTTAATTTTTTCATGAAATCATAGGCTAATATTTATAAATCATAGAAGCTAGAAATAGTCAACCTAAAACTATCAAAATACAAGTTTAATGATCATCAAAATAAAGAAATAACCATCACTTTACACTTTGGGATTAGGGTTATTGTTTGTGATTACCTATTATGGATAGATTTAGGATTTAAATTACAATTTAGGGTTGTGAATTTGGGTTTTGAACTCACCCTATTTTGAAACATGTAACCGCGGTTGAGGGGACACTAGCTGTGTTCCAAACTTTTGAAAGCCATGAACTATATGAACAAAATAGTCACACTAAAATCTCTAGAAATTTTGTGATTATGTGACAGGGAAAAGATGGGGATGTACAGTTCAGAAGTTAGGAAAGTAAGCATTGAAATATTTGAAGTCATCATGGAGAGCTTAAACTTGGGTGCAACATACATGAGAGAGAATTTCAACCAAGGCTGCCACATTTTGGGCATAAACAGCTATCCACCATGTTCCGAATCAGACATCAAGGCGGGCATAACGCCCCACACAGATTATGGCCTCATCACCATACTCTTACAGACTCACCCGGGGCTTGAGGTCGTGGACAGAACCGATGGTAAATGGAAGGTCGTCCCTGAGGTTAAAGGGTCTCTGCAAGTTCTTGTTGGAGATCAATTGCAAGTAATGAGCAATGGTTTATACAGGAGTGTCGTGCACCGGGCGATTCCTAGCCACTGGAAAACCAGGATGTCAATTGCCAGTGCTCATAGCCTAGCCATGGATGAGGTAGTTGAGCCTGCTATGAAGCTGTTAGATGAAGGGCACCCAAAAGCTTACAAGGAGAGCAGTTTAAGAGAATATCTCAAGCATCTCTCCGTTAGACAAACAAGAACTTTTATTGAAACACTTCAAATCTAAACGCCAAACTTGGTTTATATACTTGAAATATTAGTCACCCGAATCTTGCTGACTCTATTAAATCAAAGAATTGTGATGATCCTGGCATAAATTCCTCCATATAGTTTTTGTTGGTTTATTTTTATGGACTCTAGTTTGTATATGTGATCCGGATCGACCCGAAATAATGTTGTGTGGTTTTTAATGGAAAATTTTCTGAGGTTTAGTCCATGGAGCGAAGGCTTGGGCTGATAGGCCCAAGCCGTAGCGCTCATGGACAAGTCTCGTGGGGGTTCGGGGGCAACGCCCCCGAGGAAAATTTTTTTGGGCCTGTTATACAGCCCAGTGCGTAGGACATATAAACCCTGTTATTTTGGTGATTAGGGTTAATCGTGGATGGTACAGCCGCTCTCTGTATTCAACTCTCTCAATAGTGAAATTCCTGCAGTTTCGTGGACGTAGGCAAATTGCCGAACTACGTAAAATCTGTGTCTTGTTCTTTCCTGTTTCTTATTGCTTTATATTTTTGATTTGTTCTTCGATTGTCTGTGTTTGTTAGTGAATTTAAATCGTGAGAAATCCCAACAGATTTCTCCTAAAGGGTAAGACAAGGGAATGTATTAAGCTCTCCATTTGTATAATATAGTCTTCTCTAGCAACATGAAGTTCGTTGATAAGGATTCCTAAAATATGATCCAGTGCGGTGAGCAACATAAACAAATTTGAGAAGGGTCACCGATGGGTGTTGGTGGGGTGATAAATTGTGAATGTAACTAACGGTAGCCAAAAAAAAATTCAATATTGTACAACTTTATATAAGTTTATAAGAGTTTCTGTATAATTTTTTGAGAATTTACATCTTTTTGAGCGGTTTTGCCTCTCAGACACCTCAAAAAAAATATAACTTGAAACTCAAAACTTGTAACATAATTAAATAAAAAATTATTACAACATTAACTTCTAGGACCCACATTGATTTTTTAAAAAAACAGTTCACAATTATACAAGTGATAGTAATTGATTAAGAATGTAAAATATTTGAGCAATGCTACACAAATTTAAAAAATTGATTTAATGATGTGACTGTTATATCTGTCACTGATTTAACTATGAGTCCCAATATTTATTAGAACCTACCACCTATTCAACGATAGTATTTCGTCAAGTCAAATTTTTAAATATATTTAGTATTTTTCAAAATATTTTATGATCAGAATCAATTTCAATACACCATTTTTGTTTTTTTAACGGATCATTTGCTATTAATGAAAGAGACAACCTGTATGCAATAAGTATGAGTGATATGTGATCTCTTAACAAGTAAATCGAAGATTTTTTTTGTTGAATTAGGGTTGTTTGCAATCAAGTCACACACCTTTTGCATCAATAAGGTGGTCACTGACTCATTGAATCAAGGCAAAGCCCATTGGATAACAATTTGTGAAGAGACTGAATTGATGTGATAATGAATGCTTAAATCTTGAATCGTTGATATGAGTAAATGGAGCCCACCATAAAGAAACACAAAATTGATTAAGGTTGAAAGAAGAGAAATTAGATCATGTCACATCACCCGATTGTATATAAAGATAAAATAAAATAATAAATTACATATATAATCCTGAAACTATGACTCTTGTGTCATGTGAGTCGAGAGTAATTTGTTGTTCAATACAATGACAATATCACATTATCATAATAAACATGTGATATCAACAACCAATTAGATTTTTCATGTTAGTCTCACTAGTTTTTCTTGTTACTTGAACTTTAAATTATAAAAATGATCTTTTTTTGTTCCATAATGTAAAAAAGCAAGTGGAATTGAAGTAGATTTGTCACTACATTTATCCTCTAATACTATTTCTAAATATTATAAAATTATTCTCGCACAAAATTGAAAATTTTGTATTAAATTTATATACTCATCTATTCTCATTTAAATACATTAATTATGTCACAAGAAAAACATACGTAAACTAGCATATCATCAATTGAAAAATTTATAATATAAAACATGGTAGATGTCAATAAATTCATCTGATGGTTTCAAATAAACTCATTCAACGGCCACCAACATCACTCTTAAAATCATTCATATTTCATTGTGCTTTCAACCACGAGTTACCCTAGTATATTAATAAAACTTGAATAAAAAAACCCTAATTAGGGTTTATAGATCACAAAAAATAAGAAATTTGTTTTTAATTAAAAAATATGATATAAAAAATTAAGTAAAATCAATTGTTCGGTCTAAGAATATATCGCCCCAAAATATTGAAAGTCCCATCCAGGATCATAATCTATCGCAAAATCAAAACCTTGAGGGCACCTTTATCCACCGAGATGCTGGAGGCACCCTCTTGAGCCAAAATGAAAATACCCAACGAAGGAGGCCACGAATGTGTTTTTAATTACATTTTAATATGAAAACTAAAAAATAAAAAAACCTCAAAATTGTCGTCTTAATTGCATCGAGCAGCAAACTAACTCTCAACCACCAACTAAAAAAACACTGTCAAGCCAAATATGGTTAAGTAGGGGGCAGTTCTGTAATTTTCTCATTAATTAGGGGCCGTCTCTATAAATTTTTTAAGTTAAATATCTCTATAAATGGCTAACCCAGCACTCTAATTAGTTATCAAAAGCAACCCAGAGATGGCAATGTGCAATGGCCCCACGAAACTGCAAGTTGAAGCCTTCCAGACAGTGCTGCCTTTGAATCAAACCGATCCACGGCAGCTCCGGCGAGTGTCGCCGACAAAAACTTTTTTTCCGTCCATTTTACAACGGCGGCTTCATTCGGTTTTGTGCTATAACAAGGCGTCGGAGGAGGATTCCGGTTGGGCGATGGCTGGGTGGATCAAGGAGTCGCTGGGGTTGGCGTTGTTGGAGCAGCCGTTGCTCGCCGGGAGGCTCCGCCGAGGGGAAGGTGTCGATGGAGGGTTAGAGATTGTGTCGAATGATTGTGGGGTTAGATTAATTGAAGCAAAGATTGAAATGGATTTGGCGGAGGTTGTTGATTTGAAGGGGAGAGAGGAAGTAGAAGCTGAGTTGGTGTTTTGGGAGGATATTGATGAAGAAAACCCTCAATTTTCTCCTCTGTTTTATGTTCAGGTTGGTGAAATAATGTGTACTTTTGTAATAGGTTTTTTTTTTTTTTTCTTTTTGCTATTGTAAAAAAAGGGCTGGGGGCACTCGAGAGAGCCCATAGACTACTCTGATAGTTCGTGGGATTATGAGAGTTGTGATAGGTCCGTGGGATTATAAGGTCCTAATCGCACCCGTTATATCTCCCTCAAGAACCTAACTAAGTTAACATAACTTCCATTGCAATACTACTAAGTAACTTTTATGCCTGACCATTTCCCTAAACTCTAATCGGAATTGGTATGGTGAACAAGTTATGTTAGTGTTTTTTTTTCAGGTGACAAACTTCAAGTGTGGTGGATATTCTATTGGGATTAGCTGCAGCCTTCTTCTAGCTGACCCTTTGTTCATGGCAAGTTTCTTCAAAAGCTGGGCCAGTATTCACAGAGCTCTGATCTCTAAAACTGATACCCTCAAAAAACCCATCTTTTACCTCCCTAATCTGAGAAAAACAGGCTGTTCTCCCACAACGCAAAACTGCTCAATTCCTAGCAAAAACAGAGGTCAAAGTCTGATCTTCAAAATGGCAGAAACAAACTTGAATTTGGACACTGAAATGCAGAAAACTCTTGCAATGCTATGCATTGAGGCGGCCGAGAGCCATCTTGGTACCAAAATGGCTATGAAATTCTCTGTGTTTGTGAGAGAACCCTCTGGGGCTATAAAGGTGGAGAACTGTTTGGAACGAGGGCTTGTGCAGAAGCCCTTGAGCATTGTGAGTCAACTCACTGATGGTAACTGGGATGACTTGGGTGCTGATGAAGTTTGTTTCAATGAAGAGAATAAGCCTGCCTGTGTTTCCTATTGGATTAACTCTTTTTCTGATGAAGGGCTTGTCATGGTAATTCCATCTCCCAAAGACGGTGGTTCAGGAACAAGAATCATTGTTACAACTCCTATGGAGAATGTGGTCTGACAGGGTTTGTGTAATTGTGTGTATAGAGATAGATGACCGTCATATTGTTATTTTTTTCTCAGTTGCATTATTGGTAGAAGATTTTTTGTCGGTTGCATTATGTCATGTGACTTGTTTATGTTACGTTATGTATCTTTTTCTTATTTGGTTTATCGTAGGAGCAATGCTACTTTCATCTAAGTTTACGACCTAATCACGGTTTATTGAAAGAACAAATCGACAAAAAGTCCAATAATTATAATGAATTAGGTTAAAAAATTAAACCGACAAATTAGTTTAAAAAAACATTATTATTTTTGAATAGGAGAGACTATATACTACTCATTTAGAATTCAAAGTTATCAATTGAGAGAGGCGAAATTGCAGCTCAAACGGGTCAATTTATAACTCAATGGGATCAATTATGATTGATTCCAAAGTTGATTAAATTATAGGGCAAATTATATTTTGTACCCTAAAAATTTTCACTTTACACTTTGAAAAATAAAATTTCTCACATTGCGCTATTTCTATTAGTTTTTTCATCAGTGTCAATAGACTAGTTTTGACAAAAAAAAATAATAGAAGAGCTACATTACAATAGTTTTGATATATTAATGGTGTAATTTAAAAAATTTCATCCAAAGTAAAAATCTTAAAATTTTGTATGATATAAAATACGAAAAGCCCTAAATTATAATTTAATTTTCTAAAAAAAATATTTGTTAATACGATACCAAATTGAATATCCCAGAAAGTAATCTTCCAGTTCACAATGGTTCTGTGCTGTGATTAGTACTAAATTGTTATCTTTTGATAGCTTCTTACATTGCGATTTCGTGTTAAAAAAACACTAGGACTTTCAAGCTTTTCTATTCTAGATTGTTACATGGCCAATGAAATGGATAGCTTTTGCTTGTTCACAACTATCAACTAACATATGAATGGTTGAATCACAGAAAACATAAATTAATGTTGTTGGAAAGAAACATGACCTTTTAATTCACCTCTGCACTACTTCAACAGACCATTATAGGCAGCTAGCGACCGGTGAGAAGTGCCATCTCACCGAAATTGTAATTTAAAGTTGGCCGACATACACAGACAGCTATCCAATTAAAATTTAATTGGTTTAGTTTATAACATCTCTTCAATAAATTGGTGGATACAAATCTCACTCTTGAAGATAAGAATTTGATTGTACATCAACACGAATCGGATTCAAACTTGAGTCAATTTTTTTCGGGAATTTTTGTATTTTGTATTCTAAAAGATTTTTATTTTATACTCTTAAAGATTAAATTTTTTTCGTTAATTTTTCCGTCACTAGCCAACCCATTGACACGGATGAAAATACTAACGAAAAACTAATAAAATTGTCACATTACAATACTTTTGATATATTGAAGATACCATATAAAAAATTTAATCTTTGAAAGTACAAAGTGGAAATCTAAAAATCTTTCGGGGCACAAAGTGCAATTCACCCATTTTTTTGTGACACCATTTAAACATAAAAGGGTTAATCAATTTTGTTACTCGAGGAACATGTCCTTATACCAGCTCGATCTACAGGAACTGATCTCCCATATCTGTAGTTGTACAGAGAATTGATGAAGATAGTTAATTTCCAATTCTCGAATCTCAATTATAGCTTCAGTGTATGAGCTGTGGAGAATTAAATTGAAAATTGTCTTTCTGGCACTGAAACACTGACTTTTGGCACCCATATGGCTGATATACCAAAGAAAGGTCCCTTTTTTTTTGGGGGACCATACAAGAAAGGTCCGTTAGATAACACTTGCTGTGGGTATTTTTTGTTTATGTATTTTTTTTTTTGGTTTTAGAGGAAAGTAGGTCAGATAACTGAATGCATGTGGGTGACAGAGTCGTCCCAAATCCTAGCCTTCTAAGGTGTTTCATGTTTGTTTAGGCCCCAAATTTTAGAGGGTCTAAAAAATATTTATTTATTTTGTGTAATAGTTCAAATCAATAGTTAATTGTGTTAAGTCTAAAATTACTCTCTATTTGGTTAAGTTCAAATTTTGAAGGGTCTCTATAAAATTTATCCCTTTAATATACTAGACCTATTTTCATTTTTTTTTTTGTATTTTTTTAGATATAATTTAAATCTTCATGGCCCAAATTTTAATTGTTCAATTCGATATCAAATCTTGTTAAGTCTAAAATTACTCACTCTTTGTGAACTTTTATTTAAGTTTTTCTAGCTCTTTTTGGTGTGTTTATAATTGTATTAAAATTATTATTTACTCACATATTTTATCATTAAATTAATTGTTTAAAACTTAAATTGATAATTTTTGGAAAAAAAAAACTTAAATTAATAAAATTTTATTTATGATCAACTAAGTGTTAAGTATATTATCTATTGAAAAAAAATTATTGTCACAACTTGAATATAAAAATTTGATCAAAATTTTACATTTCAAAAATAATTTTTTTTTTGAATAAATAAAATATTAATAGAACCCCATATAAATTTTTTCCCTAAGGCTCCGCTTTGCCTTGGGCTGCCCTTGCCCCTGAATATTAATTATATAATATTTAAATTTAAAATTTAAAATTTAAAATTTTAATTATATAATTGAAAGTGGACAAAAAAAATACGAATTTGGTAAACGTTAATTAATAGGATTGTGTGATATTAGAGTGTATTAATTGAGCTATCTAACATTAGAGGGCGTGTAAAAAAGATGATGTTTTGACACAGAAAAAAAAATTTGTACTGTTAAATAAAATTGAATGAAGATTGAATTAATTTCAACTATTATTATACCTTTATAAATGTGTAATTCAAATTGATAATTATAATATTAGATAAATATCAGAAAACCAAAAAATCTGGTATAAATTTTATTGTCTTTTATTTGTGAGTGTACAAATATTTGCCTCATGGTCTAAATAGATGTGAAACTCATTCAAGTCAATCTCAAATGCAATCAAATATGGCTCTTGAACTTTCGCGGGATAAAATTTATTTTCCCGTACAATCTGCAAGAAATAAGAACGACAGCTTACTAGAAAATTTTATAGCCCCGAGAATTTAGTTTCTAGTATTTTTCATTATTATCATGCTAAAAAAATACCAAAAAAATTAGAATTTTTTTTCTCTATTTCACACTTTCTGTCAATCTCTCGCTAACCAAACGGGGAGCAGGGCGGGGTGAACTGTTTTGGGGCCTAAAGCAAAGATTCTAAGCGAGGCTTTATTTATATATTATTATTATATTTAATTTTTTAAAATTTAAAATTACTAATAATTTTTTTGTATGTTATTCATGATCAAGAATTATTTTATTACATTTTTGACCATCATTATATAAATTTTATTTGTTATTTTTTCATCATATAATTTCATTTTCTTCTAATTATTTAAGATCTATCATTTGTTTATTTCAAAACATTCACTTAAATATTTTGTTATTTTTTTATTACTAATAATAAATTTATTAAAAGATTTTTTTTTGTTATTCAATAAGTTTTTCTATTTTTCTCTCTCTTTTTGAGTTCCTCATATCTGAATTATTATTTTTTAATACCCACAGACAATCCAATTTTTTTTTTAAATCAATCAAATACTCTCCAAGAAAAAACTTAATAAAAATCAAAATTATTGGGCCTAAAACGGCCGCTTTTCGGCCCCATTTTCGAAGGGAAAGCCTAACTAAACGTTCACATACTTTCTTCCAATTTTTGGGCTTCAATAGCAGTCCAACAATCTTTAACCTATTGGGCTTTAGAACAACCCACCTACATCTATGTTGTGTGCGTGTGTGTGTGTGTGAGAGAGAGAGAGAGAGAGAGAGAGAGAGAGGAGAGTAGTAGCGGTGGAATCATAGTAAGCAAAGAGAGAAAGATGAGGATAGAGAATCCATTTACTTTCAAGGTAGGTCAAGTATTCACTGGCTTTGGCGTTGGCTGTGGCATTGGTATTGGCGTTGGGCGCCCTTTAAACCTAGGTACTTGCCCCCCCTCCCTCTTCTCACTTTCTCTACTCTTTTACTTCTCTCCTTCTCCCTCTCTCTCTGCCCGAAGAAATCTTTGACCAAGATGATGATGAACTTTGGAGGGTTCTTCTTCAAACCCAGAGATGGCAAAACCCAAAATTCAAGTAAAACCATTTTTATATCAATTCTCTGGTATTTCCTTTGTTTAATTTGTTGGATGTGCATAGAAAAAATTCATAACTTTGAGTTGTTCATTGTTGCTGTGTCTTGTTCATGTTTGAGTAAAGGCCAATGAAGAATGCAAATCAGTATTGACACATATTCAATTTTGAATAAGTGGGTTTGTCTCTGTTGGGTCCGTTGTCGTATTAGTCAATGAATTTTCATACATCCCTGTTTTGTCACTGATTACTGATAGACTCCAAGGATAATTTTTTTGAAGTAAGCTTCAAAGCAAGAAGGCTTTCGGTCTGGAATGTTGATAAGTAGCAATCGACTTTGCTGCAATATGAATTAAGGTGGTTAAAATGGGTGAGTGAGCACACAAGAGAAGAGTATATATACACACACACGCGCCCTTGCGCATACGATATGTATATGTATGCATGTACAGAAAGATAAATGTAGCACAGATCAAGGACAAGATGAGAGAATGGCTTCTCTTAAGGATTTTTTTGATCTGCAATGAAGACTGGTGATAGCATGGTGAGGAACAATGAGAATGCTTTTTAAGTAGAAAACTAAGAAAAGGATGACAGAAAGAACTTAAAGAAGGCATTGTATGTTAAAAAATGGAGGTATTGCCTTTGTTGGATGGGATGCTGATTATATAATTAGTTAAAGCAATTGAAACAATGGGCATTGCTGTTGTTGGTTTTGAAATGTCACACCATTTCATGCCACATTTCTTATTGAATCATGATTTGAGTATGTTTGTCGGCTGTAACTACTAAGTTTTACTTCATTCTGAGGAGTTTTTGGTCTATCAAAAACCCTTATATGTTTGTCGAACTCCTCACATTATGGTAAAATGATCGAAAGATTTATTTTTCCTCTATCACTATAATTTAGCTTTGTTTCTTGAGGTGGATATCAGATAGGTTTATGGTGACCCAGGTCTTTCTATGTCTTATTACCTGGGGCCAGAGACCAAGGTCTACTAATCTTTCTTTTAAATCATGGATATCAATTGAAGGACCATAAAAGTTTATTTAATTTCTGTATCAGGTGCTATACCTGTACTGAACCAAGTTATGAGTGCCACTAGAGGTGCAACAGATGCTTTTTCTGGTGTTGGTAGACATGTTAATACCTCTGTATGTTGATCCTGTATACCTTTAGCTTTTCTTTTTGTATTTTTACATCTTTTAATAGATAAAGTTGTTTGCTAACTTAAACTTTCCATTGCTCTTTAATGTATTTAACCTTTCCTCAACCATTTTATCATGCTTTCGCATTTTTTAGTTGAGGAAGTTGGGAGCAAAGAACATTGAAGCAGGCATTGGTTGTGGTGTGGGTTTTGGCCATGGTTTTGGAGTTGGTATGTATTTCTATTATTTATGTTGTTGATCACAAGTATGTTCTTAAGTAGTTGTATACATTCTGAAAATCTTTTAATGATAACTCCATGGAGGAGGAGGATACCCAATTTTAGTATTTCTTGGTGAAAGTTTGAAAGTTTGCACCTTTCTTGTTTATTGCACATATTGCATTTTATTGGACTATCACATAATATAATGCAAAATTGTTTGGAAAAGTATCACTGAATATCGATTATAGCACTGTGAGTTTGCTTCTACAGTCTTCCCTTGTCTTGTGCTGCCACGGAGTATGTGCAAGGATTATAATTCTCAATTCTAATGTTATGTCAAACCACTTACTCATCTAAAAGTTTAAACTGCTAGAGAATAGACCCTACAATATATATCAAGCTCTTGACACCTCCCCTTACATGTGGCACACATAGAAAATGTATATACCAGTGGGTACCATGCAGATAGTGAGACTTGAACTTAAGGACTGATCTTACCAATATAAAACTTAAGAACTGATAGAAAACAAAGCATTGATACCATGTTAAACTACTAATCATTAATGCATTTCAATAGTTCGGCTTGAATAACCCTTTAGGAAACCGATATAATTTTCCTCCTCGTTCAACTTTCTGTAAGAACAAGGTAATCAATGCCAGGCCTGTGTGGATGGTAAAATCCTCAAGGGAGAAGCCTGTGAAAGGATACATGGAGTCCTTTAGTCAATGCTAATACATTCACTTTTCTTCATAATTGTAAACTTGCGGTATTTTTGAGTTTCGTTAATAGAAGTGTTCGTTTCCTATCAAGAAAAAGTTTGATATCATCTTTTATCATACACCTTTTTTCCTGTCACCAGTTTAACCTTCTTAGTTTTATCTCCTGTGCTCTGTGTTTGCTTTTTGCCTGACTCTATACACTGGCTTGGATACTGTTGTGAAGCTCCTGCTATATTGTCAGAGTGAAAAACTTCCTTATTTTTGGCTTTTGAGATCTATTTCTGAAGAGATTCCACAATGTAGTGAGCTTTTGTCTAAGTTTATTTTGCTTGAGCTTAGTCTTCAATATCCAGGATCTTATACAGTAAAACTGTGAAGCTGAGGATAATATTATGGGCGGCTAAAAAGTAATGAAAAACAAAAAGAATATAGGAACTAGGTCACAACTCACAAGAACTAAAAGAAACAAAATATCTCACCTTTTCTGTCCGATTGTTTTACGAGTGAATATCAACCTACTAACTGCATTAGTTATTATTGCTGCAGTGGTGCTTGCTTCTTCCTAACGTTTTTTATTTCAGATAACTAATATATTGTCATTCACATGGTAGGTCTTGCTGTGAAGCCTGGGGTGGTGCATCAAATTCGGTCTTGTCTTGTAGTATGTATCCTTGTCTCTCGTCATCTTTTTACATGCCTACCTTGGTTTTTTTCTATTATACCAACACTGAGTTTCCAACTTTGCTAGGAAGCCATGACAAAGATGTTGATGAAGTTTGGGATGGCTCCCAGTTTGTCCATTGGCCAACATATACTTCCATCGTCCTTGCATAGTGGTGTGAGCTTGATAAATGAGCCCTCCCATCAAAATCCAATTGGAAGTCTTATGCAGTTGGCAACAAAAGCACCAGAGCACAAATCTCAAGACTTGCCTAGAGATGGAAATTCAACTTCAGTTTCTACTTATGAAACTTCTGCATCTAAGAGCCCTCCACTGAATGCATCATATGGCGGTCGAACAGGGAAGGTTATAAGCAATTTTTTGCAGAATCCTATGTTGAGAGATGAAGATAACGAACTAAATGAGATGGTATGTGCCACACACATTCCTGAATTTTGTTGTGTAGTAAAACTTCCTGGTTATTTCGCCAAATTTCAGAATCTTTATGGATTGAATGTGTGGTTCTTGTCTAATCTTCCTATCACATGGGAGCTCCTTTGCATCTTATTGCCACACCTTGAATAGACTTGGACCTCTATATAGATCTGTCAGAGACTTGTAGCTATGTAAATACACCTTTTATTCCAGGTTTAACCGTTTCATAAGTACAGAGTTACGGCTTGTCACTTTATAAATAAAACATTCATTCCTGTTGCTTCATGAAGCGTGGGATATCAAGTTTTCACAGGGTTAGCTCTAGCTGTTGCTGGAAAAATGAAGAATCATAGTTAGTGGTTATCTGCAGACAATCAAGGATAGGTTTCTTTTCTTTGTATGTTTTTTGTTCTTATTAGAGAGGTTGATTTTTGTGTGGTGTTCCAGAATTTGCACGGTTGATTCAATTGAAGAGTTTAAACTTCTGTCCTCTTTTCCATTACAAAGGGGAAGCCCGTCTAGTGAGAGGAAGAACTCTTCCTGCAGAACTATTGGTTAGCCGATTTTCCTAGAAATTGCAAAGATTGTTGTCACATGGACAGGGGCTAGAAACAATATTTGTTAGAAATGTGTTCCTTTGTGGGAATCATGTTGATTCTAAACTTTTCATGAATCTAAACTTTGCTATACTTGTCTACCCAAATCAAAGAAACCTGATGCAGTTGGCTACTTGGCTCCATCTATTGTCTCCTTTACTGTTCTCTATACCATAATTTGCCATGAACGAGATTATTAATGCACTTGCAATTGCTTATCTGATGATGTGACAAAGTTGGAGTCAAATATGTAGAGCTGCCCTTATACAGTTCAAATCGACTTTATAGTATACTTCTATGTCTTTGTTTGTCCATGGGTATCCTTGATGAGTTGCATTAAACAGAGAATGTCGTAAACATGGTATAAACTTGTTAAGGGTTATAAGCTTTTGATATGTTAGAGTTACTAATATCACATAATTCTTCTTCAATATAAAAGGAAAATTCTGATTCAGGATTGTAATTCTGTAGGCTGGACGTTTGCGGTCAGAGAACAACCTGCTTCAGATGGTAATGTCTCATTTTGGCCACTATTAATGCTACATCATTGCCAAAATAGTAATAGGAAGATTTTTTGTTAATCCAATGGGAAAATTTCCCATGGATGAAAGTGGAATTTGATCCCCTAGACTTCCACATACAAAGCTGTTTATAATCTTCTTGTTTTGTGCACTTTTTTAAATGGAGTTTCTTATTGAATTGTATTTTCCTACGCATCCAGGTTTTGAAACACCAGCAAGTCATTGATGGGTTGATGGAGGAAAATGAGAAGCTTCGCCAGATATTGGTGGAAGACCTCAAAATCTCACCTAGCAAGCTTCAAGGCAGCTACTCGGGTAAAAATAGATCTTCATGTACTGAATGTTTTGAGTGCCGTAGGAAACAAAGAAAAAATAGAGCAAAGTAAATATAATCCTTACACTGTTCAAGCGATTGACTACAAAAATCCTAGTTAAGCTTTTTTTTGGTGTGTGCTTTGGACATCAATTTTGCAACCAACTAGGCTGATCATTAACCACAGATTACAACGTACCTTAAGAAAGAAATTATTGTGGAAGCAAAGCATGCAGCTTACCTTCAAGACATATATTAAGTAACAGCAGATCTGGATATGAGATGAATGGAAACTTTTTTATTTTTCTTTTGGTGTTGGTGGTGACGGTGGGAGTGGGAGTGGGAGTGGGGGCAGAGGTTGTGGAGGGTGCTAGGCGGGAGCGTTGAAGACTGAGTTTGACGAGGTAATTTATTCTTTATTTCGTATACCTTCGATTACTTGGAGATCATTCACATCTCTAGCCAGACTCAAACTAGAAATGTCTGAATAGTAACTCTTGAAATCTTCCCATCTTATATTCATGAGTTTTAATATTCAAACCTTAAACGATACAAACATAACAAGGTGGCCATCATGTTGTTTCAATACATAGTTTAAAGCTTAAGTGGGTTACTGTAAAGGGGGTTTGATCATTGTGCTTTTCACAAAATTATGGTATATTGAATTGGAGTGGATTTTTGTTGTTAACACATCTTCTCTCTCTCTCTCTCTCTCTCTCTCACACACACACACACACAGACAGAGAGAGACAGGCAGACCATGTGCACCTCACTATCCTGCTCATGGTGCTTTGTCTCAAGCCAAGCCCCACCTCACCAACCATCCTCTGCTTGTGCGTCCACCACTAGACCCCCACTCTCCTTTAACCCTTTCAAATAAGCACAAAAGTAAGTCCAAAGGACACCTTCCCATTTTCAAAAAGCCAAAGTCACCCTATACCTTTCGTCCACATATTGCTATCTCCTTAGCTAGCACCTAACTTTTTATTGGCCATTTTCCCTTTCCACCACTACTTGAGAGTCAAAACATCACTCCTCCATCTAACCCCTCTCAGCACCAACTACTCTTTAATGACCTTTTTCTTTCTTGTTTAAGTTTTGGTGGTTTTGATTGATTGGTGATCAAAAAAGGTTATTCTTAACATGATTATGCAAGAATCCTGTTAGCATTTGTACTTAAAAACTAAACCAAAACTTAGGAGTTGATCTTTAATAGGTGATGGTACGGTGGTTCCAATTTTTTCCTCTCTAATCGATATTTGTTCTCGAAGGTTTTATATTTCATAAAAAAAGTAGACCCTTCAAATTTACGGCCAACCTTTTTTTAAGTTGGCTGTCACAGGCTTGAATAATGGAAACAATCTCTTCATATAATGAACTAAGATGGTGTGCATTTGATCCAGCTCGGATTTTAGAGTGTCAAAAGACTTGAGCATTGGTATACTCATTCAAACTACTAACAAATCAGAGTAGAGAATTAAGCACTATAAAACCAAATAACAATAACAACTTTTTATTAAGCTAAGCTGACAAGCTACAAAAGGATGTAGCATCCGGCAAATCTCAAAACCATCCTCTCCCTACTCACAATCATGAATGGAGTTCCAAAAAAAAAAAAACAAATCACAGGGATAAAAAAGTAAATAAAAACAAGAAACATGAGGAAAATTAAAAATACAAAAAGCATACACAAGTAATTATCTTAATCTACACCCAAATTAAAACAAAAACTAAAATCAGTGACAATTAGTTTAAACAAATAATGCAACTCCTCCAAGCAACGCTAGCACAGCCATGCTACTTCCATGCACGAAAGCTCCTGACCCTGGTGTCAACCCCGCCGGTGGCATCGCTATAGTGGACGGCGATGGTGCCATCGGTGATAGCGCCTTCGGAGATGGAGGAGACATGCCAGGTGCCATTGGTGCCGGTGGTGGACTCATTGATGGACCTGGGGCCATAGCTGGAGGAGACATTGGAGGTGGTGGTACCATTGGTGGGGGTGACATGACTGGTGGGATCATTGGAGGAGGAGATGCAGTCATAGGTGGTGGGGTTGTCATCTTTGGTGGTGGCGCCGCGGTGGCCATTGGCGGCGAGGCTGGAGCTTGGGCTGCAGAGAAGGCAAGGAATGCAAGGGATAAGGCTGACAGGAGCATGGCACGTGAGAGAGCCATGGCTAGAGAGCAGAGGTTGGGAGGGAAGTGTTTGGTGAGAAACAGGAGATAGTGAGGGTGAGGTTAATATATAGATAGAAAGAAGCTAGGTGTTTGAAGGATTACCTCACTATGCTTACACCTGGGTGCATGGAATCTTTCGTGCAATTAAATGAAAAGGTTACCACGTGTATAGGGAAAGTTTTGCAGATTAGTGGCTTAGCCCCTTTCCATAACTCATTTTGATACACTAATCACTCAATTGATTGGAAAGGGTGGGTAGAGATTAGAGTGGATAGTTTGTAAATATTTATAACTCATTCAAATACATTAAAGAGAATTGTTGATAGAGAAGGGGTTAATAAAATTCGAATTCGCATTGTAAAAATCTAATAGCGAACTGTAATGGTCATTAAACTAAATCACTGATCTCAAACATGATGACTTCTTAGGAATCACTCATCCTAATACAATTCTTACTCAAACACACTTAATTTTGAAATTTTAATCGAATCCGGTGCATTAATGCTGGTTTAATCGCACCCGATCCCTCTCTTTTAAATCCATCATTAAGTAGCAATCCTTCTTGTAAGTTTTTGGTATTTGATTGATTCAACATTCATGATTTTTTTCCACACGAACATTTTTTACACCGACTATAGAGGCAAGTGCAGCGTTTCTTACACCCCATGACCTCGAGCAAAGGTGGACAACTAGCTTATTACTTAGTATGCCATCTATGGCTCAAATGGGTCGCTTCAACAAAATTTTCATATCTCATTTTTTTTTTAGTTCAACAGTCATGGTAGTTAGAGTCAGTTTTCGCACGACTTAACTAATTTACTCTCCGATCTAATTAAAAATAGGTCGTTAACGCCAAATTAAGGTATTCAGATTCATCGATTGAGAGAGTGAGACTTCCCCAACACCTAGAAAAATAAAACTTTTGATGCAGCAAAAAAAGGGGGTACAGTCCCAAGGCTCAACGTTTGTGGTGGTGATTGTGTCTTTGCTTTTATTGACTTGTAAATTTGAAGTCATTTCCAAAAAAAGATAAAGAAAAAGAAATTGAAGTCATAGTGCTCTAATGGCCCAAACAGAAGTACAAAACAGAGTGGTTTCATGCTTGCACGTTTTTTTCTCTCACCAAACTCCTCACTGTTACCTAATCACGAGATTCACAACTGAAAAATAGACCAAAACTACCCCAAAAAAAAAAAAAGGAACTGAGTCCGTGAGTAACCACTTGACTCACAATTGATTGTGTAGTATTGAACGGACCACACCGCCGGAACCTTTCCTTTTGACCCCGTCGTGGGACTCCTACCTCAGGACAGACTCTGATTGTATTTGTTCAAAGTCAATTTCACAATTCTAGTTATTTTGAAATATATGTTTACCTAAAAAAAAATACATTCATACACCCACAATAGCTGTTTGGATGGTTATTTATTTATTTATTTTTTTTTTTTGGGGGGGGGGGGGAATTGGATTAAATTTATGAAACTTTTTTAAAGCTAACCCTAAAGATTTGTCCATGAGATTCAAACAAAAATTATATTTAATCTTCTGTTTGGTAAAGATATAAATACAAGTGGGATTCATGAATTCATGTAAAAATGTCTATTATTAAGTTAATAGAAGAATAAATTTTAGGTAAAATAATATTTTTATCTATAAATCTCATCTCTAAGTTTTTGAATCCCACCCCTTGGGTTTCATCAAACCCCCATACATGAGTCTTAACGCTTCTTCTTTTCTTTTCTTTTTTTTTAAAGAAGACAAATTTTATAGATTGTGGGCTGGGATTCATTTATTCTACAAATTCTAGACCTCAAAACTTGAACCAAACATGGGTTTAAAAGGTGGATTGTATTATTTTCACGAAATCCACTTTTTAAATCTCATCCAAACTCACATATTAAACAGACCTCTAATGCAGTGGATTCTATATGATGATCTGAGCACGTATTTGACACGACAATACAGTAGATCTTGCGTGGCATCTTTATAAAAGACTAAATCTCTCTTTTAACCCACTAAACTATATTCTCCTTAGAATTTCTCAAAATGACCTACTAACATGAACATTTATGTGACAATGTTATAATATTCACCGTCTACAATAAAGAAAACATATTTACAAATATTCTCATACACACTAATCCAAACACCATATTAAAGGGCCTTTTATCTTCTTGGTTCCGAGAGACTCAAAAGATTGTACATAGTCCAAACCCCCCACCTTAGAAAAAATCTCATTCATTATTGTGTTTTGCTTTCTTTGGTGTCCACCAAGTGCCAACCTGTCGCAAGTTAGTGAACACATTATACAGTCCCACAACCTCGAAGCGTCTAGAACAAGAAGCATAAGAGCCAATTGTATTTTTGTACACTCAAATTCAAGAATTTTTATTTTGCATCTTTAAAAATTAGATTTCTTACATTACACTTTCAACACATTAAAAATGTTACAATATGACTATTCTGTTAGTTTTCGTTACTGATTTAGTCAATTTTAATGAAATGAATTTTGATAGAATAAATAACGAAAGAGTCACATTAAAACACTTTTAACATATTTAGGGTACAATATAAAAAAAATTCATCGTTGAGAGTATAAAATGAGAAAGTTTAAATCTTTCGGGGTGCAAGCCAAGATTACCTCTAATAATAATTTGTGGCCATCTTTTATCCGGAAATCCCGGAGTGTGATTCGGGAACTAAAAGGCAGGTATGAGGTTACTTTAGTCATTTCAGATCCCATCTCTTCATCAACCCTCGCCCGGCTGTGCTGTGTGACAGGGATAAGATGAGAAAAGCACGTTTCCACATTTACTTACCGGTCCCTTTCATTCATGGGAAATGAATTAGATATCCTAAGTAGGGCTCATAATAATCAAATTGAATTTTATAATGAGTTTGTTATTTTAAATGAATTTAAAAAATTATTCAATTTAAACTGAACCCAAAACAAGCTAAATTTGATTAGAGACCAAATAATTTAATTATTTTACATCTAAACAAATCAAATTTTGTGAGTTCAAGCTAAAGCTTTTAAGCTCGAGTCTAACTCAAAAAATTGCTCGAGTTCGACTCTTTCGAGTCAAACCACATACAAGTCGAATATGAGTTGAGCCCAAATAATTTGACTCGATTATTAATTCTAACTCTACGTTAAGCGTGATTTATTGAAAAATTTAATAGGACTCACGAATTCAAGGGTCCATACTCATTTGGAATACAATTTGAGAACTCAAATTCCAGATTCCTAGCATTGTTCTTCAATCATATTTCAATGTATATGCATAATAAATGCAAATAAATTAGCCTTGATATGCTACAATTTGCAAAACATGAGTTTTATCCATAAAAAAAAATTATAAGTAAAGGGCCTAGGCCTAGCTACCGACACAAATCCAATTCACTATCTAGTGATTTGTTAATGGATCGAAGTTTGATCTAAATAATTCAAATTTAATTAGTATGTTATGTCTTATGACACATTTTATGGTTCTAATTTACATACATTACTATTCAAACTGATCCTGATTTTGAGATGAATTTTGTATAAAATATGATGAAATGAAATTAAAATTTAATTGTAATTTGTTTAAATTTGGATTTTTGACGAATTCAAAAATTAGAAATGAAACAAAACAATGAAATATAATGCATTAGATTCAGGATTAAATTGTTTGAAATTCAATACATTGACAAACTTACTAATTAGTTTAATGTGTCAACTTAATTTAATTATACATATAATTCATATTTTTTATAAAAATAATATTATTTAAATTTATTTACGTGCAATACATATCATGTATTGCTAATAACTATAAAAGCCTTTGATGACTTTAAGAAGGAAAAAAAGAATGTTTTCATTCCAGCAACTAATAAAAATACTTAACCAAATAATAAAGACCGATGATGATATTATATAGACTTTGAACTTTCGAGCTTTCGCAAATGGCTTGCATGTTTGATTGCTTTCCATGAATGATGGGACCCATGTCTTTGTGGGGGGTAGGACAGATAAGTCACATGCCACAACCTTAAACTTTCTTAACTTGTAAAAGAACAAGTGTTCATATCGAAACGTCATTGTTGGCTTCAATAAAAAGAAGATAAAAACAATATGTAAAAGTTTAACAAATTTTGATACAAAGAAAACATTATCAATTATAACGGACCAAGTTATGAGAAATTTATTCATTATGAATATCCTAGTTCAGACATGTATGACCTGTTTTTGACTTGACCGTGAAAAGAATTATTTAAGATACGTGTGAACTGATTCAAACACTCATGATCATTAAATTAAAAAAAAAAATTAATTCTTTTGTGATTGGTCCACAAGACATACATAAATGATATGAGTACAAATACTACTTAAAATGACACGATTCAAATGTGACATTGATGACACAGAACTCCATTAACACCCCGAGACAATTTTATTTGGCGAGAGGGAAGGAAATGGGGTGAGGGTAGCTTTACCATGTGAAGAATCAATTGCCCATAAACACACCTGAACGGCGAACTACAAGCTTCAACTATATAACATACCTTAAAATTGTTCCTCTTGTGAATACCTTAATTCTAACGTTGATTGCCTTTGACAAGACCAGCATGAGAATTAATCCAAGTACATATAAACTAACCGGGACATCCATGACCGTTGTACTAAAAAAAAGACACATTCTCTCCTTGTACATATAGAGATTTTTGAAATCATACTTGTATCTTGGGACTCAAATGCCTACCAAAAAGAGTAATTACAATAGATCTTCTCAACAATGGATTCCCCTGACCTTCTAGGGTAGATTTTCAAGTCACATAAGTATATAATGAGAGAGAGAGAATGCTAAACACGGCAGGTTCCAAAAAACAATCAGACAGTTCTTATCAAAGGTGCCGTTGCAAAAAAACAAATAAAAATCAGACAGTTCTTATCAAAGGGACCAACCCAGCTCGAGTTCATCTACATTGAATCTCTTGCTATCAGAATAAACTGACTCTTGACTGATTTAGAATCTGATTGGAACACGAAGACTGCTTATTTATAACATCTCTAGACATCTATGCCCGAAGACAAAAAATAGGGTTAATGAAAAAGAGAGAGTATAACCTATTACAGACACAACAGTTACCCGAATTAACTACTTACCAGAACAATGATATTTTAGCCACTTAAAACCTTCAGAAGAAGACTACTCGCCAAGCGGTAGTTTTTGACTTCATATTTACTCTGGTCAATGGATAAAAACTAAGAACAGTTCTAAATGAGCTTTATGATTATGGACCGATGCCTAGTAGTTTTAGCCACTTAAAACCTTCAGAAGAAGACTACTCGCCAAGCGGTAGTTTTTGACTTCATATTTACTCTGGTCAATGGATAAAAACTAGGAACAGTTCTAAATGAGCTTTATGATTATGGACTGATGCGTAGTAGTTAATCAATTACAATGAAACTTTATTTAAAAAAAAAAGGAATGCAACATGAAGACTAAAGTTATTTTACTTTTAGCACTTGTTTCAGCTCAATTCATATCATCCATCCAGCTAAACTAGAAGAATGGACCAAGAAAGCTCTACATATACGTGTAAGTATGCATACATTACGTACAAATGAACAACAATGTGGCCACCACAAACCGCAAAATTTATCAATTTGCAAGTTGGAGTAGCAATTCTATTTGTCATCCCAGACACTTATCTTACCATGTGCAAGTTCCACAGTTGTTCTTGATTTCCTCACCAGAATGAAGAGAGTCAAAAGATTGTACCTAGTTATCACCTTTGGTCACTCAGAAGGGGTTGAGATGTAGGAGCTGCAAAAGGAAAAAAGAATTCATTAAGTTCACAACAATTAATGGAGAAAAACTGTAAAGTATTTGCAACATTTTTGGTAGTTAGTACATTACAGCACACACCATTACATTCACTTAATCAGTACTCTGCAGGAATCTAGATGCACAGTGGGAAGTTATAGAGTCTGAGTCTTCCAGACTAAGGGCAAGTTAAGAGTAAAAAGGGGAATTAATACAGGTGACGTGTTCGGTCTAATATTACAAAGTATATGATTTGAATATAACGACAATTAGCAAAACTTAGCAATATGTATATAGATATTTGGAAATGGCTCCAGTCTCAAGGATGGACTCTTTCACTTCAATGCCACAGGGAATGAAATGGACAGGCCTGACATCATGAGACATGCATCCATACTTTCAAACACAAATGGATGATACATATGTAAACCCGCCTTTTATGAAAAAAAAAACAAGAGGGAAAGTAAATGAGGAGAACATCCTACCATATACAAACAAGAATTCAAGTGGAAACAAATTACCTCCAGCATTGTGCTCCCCATTGAGCATCTGTTTGCAAGTACTCTCTCTTATTTCAGTTATGACCAAACGAGATAAAAGAAGACCCGCTGTAAGAGCACCAACCACCAACATTGCAAAGACTGCATCCCATCCTTCTGTTGAAAGAAATCCAGTCAGGAGAGGGCCCAAAGCAGCACCAAGGGATCCAGTACCATCAATAATGGCAGTAACTGTGGCCAGCGCTCGAGAATCTCCTCTGAGAGAGCTGTGTGTACCAAGATCTGCAGAGACTGCAGTTGTAATAAGTGCATAGGGCCCATTAATGAACAAGCCTGCAATCATCATAAGCACGATGTTGACTGTCTTGGAAATGTTCCCATAAAACCGGTATAGCAGCATTGAAGGTATAGCAGCATACATGAAACTGGCTGCTGTAGTAGCCCGAGCCCTAAGTTTATCAGACAGGTAGCCAGCTAGAATCCCACCAACTATTCCCCCAACATCAAATAGAGTAGAAAAATTCCCAGCAGATTTGACAGACATATACTCTCCTCCTATAGCTGCAGAATAATGACAGTGGCAATATGAGAAACACTATATTAGAACTACAGCAAAAGACCAAGCAAAACATTAAACAAATTCCAAGACCAAATGTGGCTTGGTTCTTAGGGTGAAACAATCCATCTTCTGTTTTTGGTTTCAACAAGTGCAATAATCTTAAAAAATCATATGTACTCGAGAATTGAAAACTTTGAATATAACTAGCACTCAGTGACAATTACCAATGACTGGCTAGGTGAGGGAAAGTTACAACCCAGGGAAAGTCTCTCAATTGTCGTTGTAGACACAAGTTGCCATCCAAGAACATGCTGCATGGTCATGACAAATCAGGAGAGACCACTCAATTCCCTCCTATTAAAGTTTACTTGAATAAATGTCCAATTTTTCAAATATTGAGGATCATTGTGAGGATGGCAGCACCTATTCTTTTTTATCACAACCTCAGACAGAAGAGAACCTTAAGCCAGATAACAAGTACCTTCACTACAGAAAATGCATCACATTTTTTCCCACATGACCACCAGCTACCAAGTTATCCAGCACCGTAGCCAGTGAAACCATGGGTTGTGATATATGATAAATTCTAATCCTTTGTCACCACAATCCAGTTTCTGGCAGAACCAGTACACCACCCCTGTTGCTCTTTTTCTCTATTCATCTTCCTCTTCAACAGTTCAATGTGTAGACAAGAAAACTTGTCAAACATTAGGTAGACAAGAAAACTTGTGAAACACCACGACTTGTATGACCCTTTCCCTAAATTTTTCTTTCAAATAACTCATCTTTAATAAATCGCTAGGGCAACAACCTTCATTTAAAAATATTGCCTCTGAGTTCAACTATATAAGATTTCATCAAAGTTGGGTTTATACAACCCCTTTCTAAGGCCAAGGCAACTAATTAGACCTCCATTCAAGCATTTCATTTTGAGCAATCAAATTAAATCAAACTGGTCCTTATCGAGTTCAGTCTTTTGTAGTGCAGATTCTTAGTTATGTCATTTGCATGCCTCTTAACATCCCACAGTTACTAGCAACCTGTATAGTTTCACCACACATGGAGAAAAATGAAAAAACTAGGCACCATCAATTAAAACACTAAATCAAAACTTATGCCAAAAACTAGTAGGCGAGATCAACTTTTGAGTCATAAATTTATAGAAACCGTCACTTATTCTGAGTCATCACTTGAAAGGGGAAAAAAAAAAAAGTGGATGTGTAGGAAATACCTGTCTGACTGAGATAAAATGGTAACCAGTACAAAAATGTGTATGCGACAAGCTTTGCGAAGAAGAGACAAAATGCAAATGGTATTACTCCTGGTATTAGACAAGCTTGAAGGAGCCCAACACTCTTCCTATTTGCTGACACACATTGGGCAACAGAGTTCTCTTCACCTTCATCCATAGCCCCTTTCCGTGTCTGAGCTTCTACATCATTATGCACTGCCACAACATTAGCAGCTGATCCATTTGGGCAAGGAAAACCAACATCTTCAGGATAAGCAGGCAAGAACAGGTATACTATTATTCCTGCCAGAATGATAAAAGCACCGGGGACAATAAAAGACCAACCCCACCCATAATCCAAAACACTAGCAGCAAGAAGCGACCCAGTTATGTTCCCTACGGACGTATGAGCATTCCAGATTCCCATTATCAATCCTCTCTTCCTCTTCCCAAACCAATTACCAATAACAGCAACTACTGAAGGCCACCCTGTGGCCTGAAACAACCCGGCCACCATTTGCATACTCAAATAAAACCAAAACATGTGAATATTCCAAAAATAACCCATCCCGAAAAGCCCAACAAAAATGCCACTCCCAATCATCCCAGTAGTCAAAAACAACCGAAGATCCAACGTATCCCCTAAATGCCCAGCAACATACATTCCTAACGAATAACATGCAAGAAATGCCACATCAATCTCTCCCAATTTCCATGTCCCATCTTCTCCATTAAATGGAGCCCAACCTTTGTTTTTCAATCTATTCAAATCACTTCCCACCAAATCCCTTTTGACAAAAAGATCACCCATTGGCAACGGGTTCAACACATTGTGGTTCTTAGGCTGAGGATCCAAAACACTCTTGACTATGCTGTTGGGTTTTCTAGAAGCGTGGTATGCGGTATATGCTATGAACGTAATTAACAGAACCACGTATCTATAGGTTGTTAAACTCCAATCTTTGCCGCTAATTTTTCTTAAAAGCAAAATTCCTGGTGGGTTCCCCCTCATTGTATAAGCACCCGGCGCCATTTTCACTACCAAATAAAATCAAACATCAAATCACAAAGCAGTAACCTCACTATCAAATCTAATCAAATCCTAAAGCACACAACAATAAACTTATCTCCGCATACTTTTCCAACAATAAGCGAAGAAATCATCTTCAAAGTCCAAAAAATATGCGAACGCGAGAACAATTCAATATGTAATTGAATGATGGACGATGTTAATGTTTAAAAACAAACAGCAAAGAGGGCAATTGCTACATTTACCGAATGTTTTGCTGAACTTCTTCAAATAATCCTGAGGGCTTACACCCCATAGAGAGGAGGAGCGAGTTTCTAGGCTTGGCAGAGAGTGAAAGGGTTGAAATTGGAGGAGAGAGAGAGAAGGGGGGAAGCGTGGTTGGCGGAAGGAGAGAGTGGTTACATCAGAGAGACAACACGTGGCAACCTGTATGGATTGTGAACACTATTGATCCTGTGCTTCGGTGCCACGCTTGCCGTTGTGGACAATTTTGAAGTGGCGGAGTTTGGGAGAGACGGTGAGTCACCATATAGCTATGCTGGGCCTGCGGGCTTTTTGATCTGGATACTTGGGCTTGATTTGCCTAGCCCACTTACTTGGAAATACTTTCCTTTTTTTTTTTTGGTGAAAGGGGATTTGTAAATAAATGGGGGTTAATTTTATTTGATGAATATCAACTTAATTGTGTTCAATCTAAAAATAGAGTTCTATTCATGTGATTTAAATTTAACAATACTCAAATCACGATCTGAAATTCTCAAAATTTGGCTTAACCCAACTAGAATTAGTGGACTCGAGATTTAGCCCAAACTCGTGCCGAAGTCAATTTGAATTATGAATTTAATTATTTAACTTGTAACCACCAAAAACACATTTTTGGGTAGAAGTTATTGTTTTTGGGTATTTATGCAGTGCTTTTTGAGAAGAACTTACCAACCTTTTAAATGGGAGTGAATTTATTAATTTTTTAAGTTAATTTATCATTTTTTTAAGTAAATTTTATTAAAATCTAAGACTAAATAAGGAGTTCAAATGATGCAGCAATCGAACAAATCAATTAAATATTTTGTTTCTTTATTTGTTGATTATTAAAATATCACATCATTTGAGCTTTAAAATTTAATTCAAATACAATCATCTAAATAATATTTGTGCGCATTTAGAACTAGCTTAAAACTTCATTTTTTTTTAAAGGAAAAAAATCTGATCAGTTTGAATTTGGGTTTATTAGACAACTTTTTTATCAATTTTTTAGACAAAAATAGTTTTTATCAACACTAAAAAAAACCAAAAAATAGGAATTATTCATGAGCTTACGAGGAAAAGTAGATTTTTTCTAAAACATTTCACTCAATTTAAAGATTTTTTTTAAAGTTAATTTTTTTTATTTCACTTTTCAAATTTTTATTTTTTACAAAAAAAAAAATTAGCACCAAACAAACCTATAATACTAAATAAAGTTGTCTTTATATGCATAGTTTAAGAGCGATGTTACGTGGACTTAAAAAATAAACTTTAAAATTAGACTTGATAATCTCAACTATTGATTTCGTTGTAAGTCTCAACATTTATTAGGATCCACTATTTATTCAATAGTTGAGATTAACAAGTCTATTTTTTAAGTCTATCTAACATTACTCATAGTTTAATTTGTGTAGATAAATTCAGCTTAATACGAGTTAAATCTTTATTATTATTATTTATTTATTTGGGATTCAGCTAACGTTCCGAATTCCATAACTATAATTTTCCTTTTAAATAACAAAAATGGATGATTATTAAATTTCCCAAGCCCACGAGAAACCCACCATTAAAGATGATTAATGACACGTCACAGGGTCCCACTTCCGGACAAGGCACAACCAACCTTCGCTTTCCAATCAGACGTCATCCTGCGGGACCCACGACCCACGCCCCCACGCATCCATCACTCCCGCCCTCTCTCTCTCTCTCTCTCTCTCTCTCTACTCTGATAAATGAAGCGCTCTCTTCCTCGCGACTCCGCTATACGGGGGCGCTTAACAATGGTGATTCTCTTTCTCTCTCTCTCACTTCAATTCGGACAACAGAACCGATCTTTGTGGCTGAAGCTTCGAATTCAGAATAGAGGACCGAGCTAATTCCGTCGTTTACCACCACATGTTAGTCCATTTTCGTTCTCTCTGATCCTGAAGTTTCGTCATCTCCTCTTTATCGTGTCTTTCTTACTTTTCTTTTTTCTAATTTGTTTTTTCACGCACTCTTTTCTACGTTCCCTTTTCTATTCGCGAGTCTCAGCTACAGCTTTCTTCGACCTATTCGTTTGCTGTTTTGTGCACTTAGTTGTTCATGATAGGGTTTGATCGATTTGGGGGTTGATCTGAACGTCATCATGATGACTGGTACTACTGACAAGTTAATCTCTGTTCATCCGGAAGAGCTCAAGTTCCACTGTACGCACAACCTCTCTCTCTCTCTCTCTCTCTCTCTCTCTCTCTCTCTCTGTGCGTTCTTTGATTTATTTATTTATTTATTTATTTTTTTGAATTTTGATCCAATTTGCGTGCATATGTATTAAATTAATTGGAAATGACTGCTCACAAGGTTAAACACAGTCTAATTGATGTAGACATTTTTCATAAACAGCTAATTTAATTGCCACAGGGCACTTTTCAAGACCATATTATTCTGTAATATAGGAGGGATCTTTGGGAGTGTAGTGCTACAATTATTTGGACAGTGTTTAGTCGTTTTTTGAACAAAAAACTTTGAAAGGACGACTATATGGATAGGTTGAGAAAGATTATGTTAGGAAAGCGCTACTCCAAGATATATGAAATATCTGAGCTAGGGTTGAACATTATCTCTAGAAGAGCAGAGCTGTATTTGGGTCGGTCATGTAATAAGTTCATCTATGGAATCTAGGTGTCCAAAGCACATAAAGACACTTATTCTAGAAAAGAATAAAGGTTGAAAAGCTGAAGAAATAGAAAAAAAAATTGTTTGATAAGATAATAATTACAAAGAAAATGTTTTTTGAGTGGCAAAAACAAATTTGACTTCCTACGTGTAATTAGGTGTTAAACTAATCAGCCGTCTTGTTGGAAAATAGTGATTGAGTTGCTACTAAAACCTAAATTGATTGAAAACATTCTCAGATGTAGGTATGGGGGGTTTATAACGGAAGCACCTCCTTACTAAGCTGTCCAATAGAAATGTATTGAAAAAAAAATCCATATCTTCATATGGTTTTCTTTACTTGGAGAAAGGCTTTGAAATGGTCCATGAAGATATATGTTAGTTTCCTATCAGAAAAAAAAGTGTCCATGAAGATATAACTTGTTTGGTATAACATTATGCCTTATGTTTTCGATTTAGTTATAAATACTCAATAGCACATTTTCAAAATGAATATCCTTGGTCCATGCTATTTGTTTGCAATATTCTTTTAGTTGACCCATTGGTGGGGCGAAGACCAAATTAGGCTGAAGAGTTAGAGCATGACATTGTTCAGGTTGGTTATTCAGAGATGGAATAAAGTAAGATGGTTTAAATGAGGGAGTGCACTAGGATAGTTCTCTAATTATTATGTTGCTGTGAAATTTAAAGGAAATTCTGTGAAACTTGTATAACACCAACCACACACTGTCCACATTGAGAACGCAATAGTGACAGGGAATACTAGCTGTACAAGTGCTGAGAAAAAGGGGGGGGGGTTTCAGTTTTTCCCCATTGTTTTACAAAATTTTGATGGACTTACAGCTGTGGGTGTTCTTTTTTTTCAGTTGACCTGGAGAAACAAAGTTATTGTGATCTCAAAGTTGCCAACAAGACAGAAAATCATGTTGCTTTCAAGGTACTTATCTATGATCCTGTACACACAACCAAGCCACTTGGAAATGGATATTGAGAATTTAGTCCATCTTGTAATTCACTTGATTATATATCATTTGTATGTCTTTTCTTTGCTTTGCTAGGTCAAAACTACTTCTCCAAAGAAGTACTTTGTACGACCCAACACCGGTGTTATACAGCCTTGGGACTCCAGTGTCATAAGAGGTGCCACTCTTTAGCTTATCACAATTTTTTAATGGAGAATGCTGATTACGAGTAGCATTAACTGTTTTACGAAGGAGATTGGTGTTTTATATGCTGTTGCAGTCTATGAAACCATCATAAAGATAGTGATTGGGCCCGAATATTGGACAAACGATAACAGGGGACTCAAAACACAGCATGAAATGGCGTCTACATAAGTTCCTTGCAGGATAGGACATGGCAATATACTACGCATATAATAACATGTATAGGTCTTTCAATTAATAGCATGACTTGCAAGCTCTTGCTTAACATATATGACTTGCAAGTTATATTATTTACTACTACTCCCCTGTATTGCTTCTTTTCTACATCAAGGGGGACATGAGTGTGACCTATGTTAATGTTAGCCATGTGAACAGCATCACCGTGTATTGTTACGGTGTGATTGACATGCATCCAGGATGGTGAAGATTTGTCATCTCCAGCACTGGCTTGGTGTTTCTTAAGAAGTCTCCATGCTGCATGGTCAACCACCAAGGATGGCACCAGGATTTTATCCTTAGGGAGGCCAAACGCTATTGACATAAACCCATATCAACAATGCCGATTACATGTATAGTTCTTATATCAAATTTGCAATGTACAAAAATAAATCAGACAAAATATAGATACTTAATATAAACAAAAATATCAACAAAAATAAAAATGAACTGAATGAATAGTTTTTATTACCCATCTATTATAGTGAAACTCAACATTCTTTTCTATTGTGTAATTCATCTGAGATTGAATCCGTGCTAAAAAGTTTAATTTTGACAATATTCATAGTAGAGAATACGGGTTCCGTTAGAAGATCTTGGGTTCTAACATGTATACCAAGACCCCTTCTCTGTTGCTTGCAATGGTTTAAGCCTTTCAAGGTTTTTAGTTTTTGTTTTGTAAACAAATTAGGACTCTTTTTGTTACTAGTATTATTTGGAATTGAGCCATATTAGGAAAGCTAAGATGTTTTTTTTTTATCAACCTACTAACTAAGAGTTGTTAGGCATATTAGGAAATTTAATATTAACTTTGTGGGCTTGTAGCTGCGTACAACTTCAAGCAGCAGATTTTGGCTTTGGTTCTTTTTTTTGGGGGGGAAGAGGGGGGGGGGGGGGGGGGGTCTTTTT